GTGCTGCTTTATGGTGGAAAAAACTGAAGGTGGGGACAAAACAAAACCCCACATTATTGTCTGTTCAAATTAAAATGTCTTAAATCAATCTTTCAGAAATCTTAAAAATGTTAACGCATTGTACATAGGATGATTGTAAGTCATTTCAAATATTAAAATAATTGGTAAAAGTATTTTTTAAAATATTCACATGCAGACATTCTCCTTTGACATCACTTCCTGTTATTTCACATGCAAATATCTCAACAACTGTCCATCTGAGCAACGTGAAATTGATTTTGTAATATTTTTAAGAATGTTGTCTTTCCAAAAATGCATTCACTTTTCTTACAAAAATTAACGTCACAGGCACTTTAAGGTTTCATCTACAGCAAATTGGGGTTAAGACCCCACTGTGGGTCCTAAATCTCCAAATTTTGGATCGTTAGAGAATTTCCAGAAATTAAATTAAGTTTAAAACTGACTGCTAAGAATGTTTCTACTGTAGTTAGATATGGATAAAAACAATTGGTCTTTAGCAATGTTTGAATACTTAAACAAAAAATATCTTGATTTATGAGTTTCTGCCAGTTGTTTTTTTTTGTCATTAGTGTTTATTATGAAATTGGTCTTAAATTTAATTTCACTTGGCATTAAAAAGTCTTAAAAGGTCTTAAATTTAACTTGAACTGTAGGAACCCTGTTAGCCTTCAGTACAAAGTTTTCTGAGCCAAATCAGAGCTGCAGTCAAGCTCTTACCTCACAGTTTGAGTGATGGAACCACACTAGGCCCACTTTTCTGATGAACTGAAGGGATTTAAATCATGACAGCTCCAGCTTTAACGTTCTCATGAGACATTTTATCTTGTCGAGAGTCCTTGTCCGTCAGTCTTGTCGTATTTGGCTGGGATGTTTTCAGACAACATCTGCAGTGAGAGTAGGGAGCAGGTGGAGTTGTGCTCTGGAGAGAGGGGTAATGAAAGTCAGTAGAAGTGAGACAGAATGAGTCCAGACGCTGCAGGTGGTTTACGAAACGACGGCGAGACCACCCGAGGGACAGCTCAGGCTTGGAGACGAGGCGGGGATGCTTTGGACATGTGCAGAGGTAGACAGGTATATACCATCTGTTGGTAGAAGTTAATACACCTGATGTGTGTGTTCGTGTCAGAGAGAAACACACAAAGACAAATGTTTGTGTTGTGTGCCCCCCCCCCCCCCCCCACGACAGAACCTACACAAGGCCATATGTGAGGCTGAGGTGGCCCAGCAGCAGCACCGCATGGTGAGACAGAARTCCCAGCGCTTCCTGAGGCTCAGCAAGAAGCAGTGATGTCACTTCCTGTCTGTCAGCAGCCGCAAAGTGGGCGGGGCTTGGGTAAAAATGTTCCTTTTTTGTGCCAACAAAGAACACCTGATGAATCCGTCCAATCAGGACGACCCAGCAGCTGCCGACGCTCGTCTGCTTTCTGTTTGGTTTGTCAGAAGTTTAGTTTAAAATTTAAAAGAATCATAGAATGGAGGTTTTTGTTGTTGTTTACATGCACTGAAACTAAAACCATCTTGTAGGAAAAATAATAAAACTTGAATGTTGTTAATCTTTTCAAAACAATAACCCTCTTTGAATCAAGTGATGAAGGTAAACACGCTGAGTTTAATGTTTTATTTACCGTAACTGCTTTTATTTTGAAGTGTCTCCTGTGTGTGCGTGGGTCTTTTGTCCCTCCTTTGTGCCTGCAGGCATCACTTCCTGCCTTGATGAAGCCATAAAATATGTTTTGCACTAAAAGACTTACAGTAATGATTATGTTGAGGATGTTTGATGTTGATTTTCAGGAAAATAAAAATATCAAAGATTATGTTCTAAAGAAAATAAGTTTGTTTGAAATCCCCATGAAGAACAAGAAATCTATCCTTTTTTGTTTGTATCATCTCTGATGTAACCAAAAACCTGTTGTCTCCTGATGATACCGGGTTCTTACAGGTAAAATGAATATTTCTTGTAAAAATCTGAGTTAATGACGTGTTGATGTGTTTCTTCTGTAGTCAAATATGACCTTTGACCTTTAAACTGCTAACTGAGGCCTGTAGAGTCTGAGGTGCTCATTCCTCACTTCTTTTTTCTCTGCTCACAAACCGGACAGATGGAGAGAATTTCCAAATCCTCCCTTCACTCTGCAACRTGGGACAATAAAGATGATTATTCTGGGAAACTGCAGCATTAATAACCACTAATGAATAAAACCACTATATTTTAGCACATTTTATTTATTTGATCAAAAGTAAATGGTAAAATAATGTTTTCAAAAACCACATAGTGGATCAACCATGAAGCTAGTTTGTTATTAAAATACAATCATGCAGAGAAATCAGTAAAAAGACAATGTGAGCAAAAATGTTCGTTCCCAGATAACAGATCAGAAATACAGAGTAATACTAACAGTAAATGTTTTCTCACAATATCAATAAAGTAAAAAACAAGAGTAAAATACATGAATTATGCTGCTCACATGACTGACCTGTTGATTTCAAGTCAAAAACCATAAAAGCAGGTTTCAGTATTTACAGCATGTAAAAGATGAATTTTATGTCAAATGAAACAAAAAGACCATTGGCTGTTTTCACTCATCGTCAAGCAAAAACACTAGGAACTTGCACAACTTTTGAATTTTTAAGCTAGAAATGCACCTGCAAATGAGACTATTTCAATAAAACAATCAAAGAACACTATGCTGATTGACAGTAAGTGGGAGGAGCTTAGTCAGGATGAGGTCACATGATCTAAAGACTCATCTACTGTTGTAAAATAAATAAGATTCACTAAAAAGATACTGATAGGCACTCAGATATGTCCTTGTCAAGTGTACCAGAACTGTCCTGCATATCTGTTCACAGTTTGATGTTGGCTCACGTCCTCAAAGGGGTCCAACCCTCCAGTTTCGATGAAACCGGTGACGTCGGTACGACCGATTGAGAAACTGTTCAACTGAGCACATGCTGGTGGTCTGAGCTTATACTGTTTGGATTTGTTTCAATTTATTGCTTAGTTGATTTGTTGCTTGGTTGATCTTGGGGCGGTTGTGGTGGAGTGGTTAGGGGAGTCGTCCTGGAACTGGAAGGTCGCCAGTTCGATCCCCCAGTCATTGTGTCCTTGGGCAAGACACTTCACCCAACTTGATGGTGGTCAGAGGGTCCGGTGGCGCCAGTGCATGGCAGCCCTACCTCTGTTAGTGTGCCCCAGGGCAGCTGTGGCTAGTTTACCATCATCAGTGTGTGAATGGGTGAATGTAAGTGTAAAGCGCTTTGGGGTCTGGAGGGACTTGATAAAGCGCTCTATAAGTTCAGTCAGTCCATTTAACATCATCTTGGTTGGTTGGTTTGTTGGTTGGTTTACTGGTTGGTTGGTTGACTGGTTAATTTGTTGGTTGGTTGATGTTTTGTTTGGTTCATTGAAATTATTTGGTTGACTCAGTTTGTCCATTTTAATTTTGATTTCATCATAACAGTCTGGGAACAATGCCATTCATCCTGACAGAATAAAAATGGCTGGAAAAGAAAGAAAATATAAAAAATAACAGACTTGTATTTTTTGTCCTTTTTTAAGTGAATCAGATTTTAAATTTAATAAACCCCTGTACTTCATGTGTCTTTAGCCTCAGGATGCATCCATCCACTTCAAAGCCAATTGTCGTGGTTGTTGCAGATTTGTTGCTGGGCACTCTCGGGCCCAGTGTCCAAACTCCCTGCAGGAGTAACATCTCCCTCTTCTGAATCGGCGAGGCGGGTAGTACTGAGGCGGCTCCGAATCCTCAGAGCTTGAGTCCTCCATATCACACCAACATTTCTTGTTCAGATCTTCATTTTTTTCTTTAGTCTCAAACATGCCTCGATCCTCCATCTCCTTTAACACAGATTTGGCATTTCTGAAGGTGCATTTTTCCCAGGCAATCACTTTGAAGTCGGCCACCTTAGACACGTGATTGTAAACCAAGTATTGTAATTATTAGTATTACAAGTATTGTAAACTAAGATAAAAAAGTGGCATTTGAAATGAAGCTTTGATCCAGAGTAGTATTCAACCCCTGTTCAAAACGAGAGACAAAATCTGTCACTGACTCTTTTGGTTTCTGAAAACAAYAGATAGCTGCCACATAGTCTGGATCGTTCGGGGCAAGCTTGTTTAGGGAGGTTTTACAGTCTCCGTCCAACCATCCTGTCATGGCATTTGGACCTGACCAGTCAGCATCAGTGTCTGAACCTGGAACATCAAATAGTTTCCTCGCCTCGTTCCATTTGGACTGATAGACTAACTCTACTAACTTTTGATCAGAGCAGGGCGTGGCTCGTACACGGTACAGGCTTGATGCAGCCACGTGGGGAATTGTTTGGGTTTGGCAGATGGATCTGGGGCTTGTTTTATCATGTCCAAGAGCTCTGCTTGTGTCCACGGAGTCACCTTGTCTTTTGTGGGTTCTCTGTTCCTTTGTCTATTTTCTGCTTTGCTTTTACTTCTGGTTACCGCTGCCCTGTAGTGCCTCCTGCTGGCCATGGAGGAACCAACCCAACCGCCTGATTTCCCGCCTTATCAAGCACCCAGTCACAGTTCAAACCCACGTTTCGGAGCTCCCAGAGTAATCTGTCAATGCTTGGGTGAGGTTGTGAGGTAAACCAGAGACTTATCGTTGCAGCAATCTGTTTCTCAGGCTGACCAGGAAACATGTTGACAATCTGCTCTTTGACTGTTTGATCTGCAGAGCCGTCGCAAGTTGAGGAAGAGTCCAAGTGTGAGCACTCAGATGAGCARTGATTGTCTGTAAAACCATCAACACCTGGTATTTAGAAACCTGCCTGGGTGAGGGGACGTGGGGGGCAGTGGGGGCAGGAGGGGCAGGCGACGACTCAGGGTTAGTTTTTCACACGTTACAGGGGGATGGCAGCTCAGACTCTAACTCTGAGTCCGACTCCAATCCACTGGCTGGAAACATTTCATCACTTCCTCTCCTTAGTTTCAGATGTTTTTGGTTTTGAAAAATTGCCAGTTCTCCGTTCCTCTGGTGTTTGGAGGAGCTGCAGCCCATGATGGCGTTTTGTTCAACCACAGTTTGTTGAGACGCGTCCTGTTGCTCCTGGAGAATGGTGTTAAAAGAAATGATTAACATTTTGACTCAGTTTGAAATGAAAGCAAAAAATATGTACTTTAATTTCAAATATGAACAGGTTGGTCTCCTCCATGCTCCCTCGAGTGAGACTTTTATTCTTTGAGCTAACGCTAACATTAACCATTGATATTGGTACAGGTGGCACTAATGCTTTAAAAACTAGACTTTAGAACAGGTTTATAAATAATACACGTATTTAACTGAAATTAAACCATGTTCACTAAAATGAAGTCTACATGGCAGTACTTGTAGAGTTTTATCAAGGACTTTTTCTGGTTGCTCCATTGCATTGCTGTTACATACAGGCCACTAGATGTTGCCCAATTTGTTATATTTTGTTCTTAAACCAAGAACAATCACAAATAATTATTTTATAATAATTCAGTGGTTCAGAAAGGGGTTTTTTCATACACTATGTTCCCTCTACACCAGATAATACAGCTGCTTCACAGATGCTTAAACAAATATTAATACAAATATAAAAGAGAAACAAATACAATGAAATGAAAGGAAGCAGAGATTTAAAAAATCTTATAATATTTGCCCATTATTTTTACTCAACTATAAACTCAAACAATGCTAATCTTCAACTGACATAAAACAAAACAAGAAAAAAGTCAAATTGTCAATCAGTTGGGGGTGGCACCTGGGAGTGGCCAATCAGGTGCCAGGGATGGCCCTTGATTGGCCACCCTCTGTCTCCGCCCCTGTTCCGTGGGACAGGCGAGACCGGACTTTAGTCCACATGATGATATTTTGACATTGAAGCTTTTGTTTCAAGCTCCACAGACAAACAATTCTTCAGTATTTTCTGTAAAAATAAAAAATAAATAAAGTATACTCAAGTATACTTATTAAAATGAACTTCAAGTAGACTACTTTTTGGTAAGGGCAGCCCTGACCAAGATGGCCGCTGCAGCCTTGAAGTGGAACATCTCTTTGTTTCCACACGGTTACAGCTGTCAACACCGAATGAAGTTAGTTCAAAACTCATGAAGGAAACTGTTTCTGTGGAGATAAAAGCACAGAACATCTGTTAGAGCCTGAGACAGCTTTAAAAGAACAAAAGGCAGTGTTTTCCAGCAGTTGAACTCAGTTTAGCGCTGCCCCGTTTAAGCCCCGCCCCCATTCGGATTTTTTTAATGACGTCACCGTGACGTGCAGCTCTTTTCCTGTGTCTGCATTCAGACCAGACTTTTGTGAGATAAGGTCCGCATTTCAAAGCCGACCATCTATTTTCTCTATAGGCTTATTCTGAAATACATTTTCTCAAATGCAAACTCTATGTGCACACGACTAAAGGAGAAAATATCAACTTGGTMCTCTAAACTGAAATCTAAACTGCTACATTCGAGTTGTGGTTCACGAAAGAAAATTGAAACGTTGCCAGAGAAGCTAAGTAAWACAGAGGCTGAACATTTGCAGAAATTTCTCGATGGATCAGACGAGAGTGAGAAAATGCACAGCTAAAGCAGAACTGTGTGCGTGTGCGAAGATGAAACTAGGTCATGAAAAACGCATTTGCGACGTCATAAAGGACCAGAGGAGTGACCGAGAGGTCCTACAAACACGTGTGCAGACGTCAAAGGGAGACCCAGAGGAACGGTCAGCAGCTGAAGGAAATATTCTGCTGGACTGTGTCACATCTGGCAGGAACGGAGACAGACTCACAAACAGGCTAAAACAAATCAATCAGTGCAGTGTCATTTATGAAGRACTGGAACGTGATTCAACATTTAAGGAAATACTTGGAAGTGTAGTTGTTCTAGCCATTTACATACTTTCTCTTTATGCTTGTAATAATTATCCAACTTTTTACTGAACTGTTTCAACTTGACTGGACTTCCCGAACCTCCAGAG